TCATCTTCTTGTATCCCATAAGATTAAATCTTGAACCTTGTTGCTTTTATAGTGGGAAATTTAAAGCTTATAGGAAAGTGATTACACGCCTGAAGATATCAAATGATCCAGTTTTTGTTCCCTGTTGTATTCTGTATTATTGTTGTATTACAGATTACAAGCCATTTTTCCAACAAGTTTTATCCTCTCCGGTCCTCATACAGTCTTCTTGCTTGCTTGCCGCCAAAAGCAAGAAAATAATAAAGGGAGGAGCAAGAAGAGAAGAAGAAAACAAAAAGTGAAAAAGAAGAGAAGAAATTGTTGGTTTGTTACTTCTTAGTTCATTAATGATGTGTTTGAAAATCATGAATGATAAAATTTGTTTTTTTGGTCAAGTTTTAGAAAAATATTCATCCAAATTAAAAATTCATTTAGTGTGCAAATATTATAAGACTTAGTTTTGCACTTTTGCATGGCATGTACAATTTTTTAGTAGCACGCATGCATATTGCAATTATGCTATTTTGTCACCATAAAATAATTGCATATCACCATCCCCGGCCCCATCACCACCATTATTTGCTTAAGGATCAGGGGGTAAGGTATTAGTTTAGTGAATCTTTTGTGAGATTGTCTCACATGAGGTGAGAATATTTTTTTTTTTGAAACGGAAAGAAAATTCATTAAATTAACCTCGAAATACAATCAGGAGGGTGAGTAATCCACACCCTAAGGACAGAAGATGAACCGGCAGCCTGCGCGAGCGCATGGGCCACATGATTCGCTGGCCTTTTTACGTGGTGAACCAGAATGTTCCCAACGTTTCTTACAATGTCACGGCATTGATTGATAACCAAACCTACATAGGACAAATCTTGACTAACCGAATTAAAATTGTTACAAAAATTTAAGCAGTCGGTCTCCAAAATGTAATTCGCTGGAGATCTGGACTTGATCCATGTTAAACCTTCTTTGATTGCCAAAGCTTCCGCACAGTATGGTTCATGAACACCTTGAAGTCTTCCCCTTCGGGCAGCCACAAAATGTCCCAAGTGATCCCGGATTATTGCTCCATAAAAAATGCCGCTAGCAGAAACGGCCGCATCTATGTTGCATTTCAGGGATCCGGTCGGTGGTGGCGTCCATGTCGGCGGTAAAGAGACTATCCGGAGGCGGCCATTGTTCGCCGGTGACAAAATTTCCATCCAGGTTGCAGCAAGCTCAGCTACCTGACGCTTAAGCCCTTCCACGGTCCAAGCCTTATCATGCCAAATAACATTATTTCTTGTATTCCAGATCACCCAAGTCCGCGCCGCTAAATACACCAAAGATGACTGGGACAGTGTTGTTAACGCAGTATTAATATAACCTGCAAACGTCGATCCTTGGAGGATGTTGTCCGTCCCCCATAGATGCCTCACGACTAAACACTCAAGAAATAAATGCTCGATCGTTTCGACATCGGATGTGCATAGAGGACAGCCGCCTCCTATCCAAATTCCTTTCATCTTCAGACTCTCACGAACTGGCAGAATTCCCCAGACGCCGCGCCATAACAGGTTGATTACTTTCGGTGGGACTGGAATATTCCAGAGTTTCCTCCATTCAGTGAATTCGTGGGATGAATTTTGAGTCAGTGTCGCAGCTGTCAAAGTCTGGTAACCTTGTTTAACCAAGTATAGGCCTCTCATATCGTTCGCCCAACACCAAGAATCAGGGTAGTGTATGGATATTGGAGTTTTAATAATTCTCTCCACGTCCTGCAACGAAAATATATCTCTGAGGACCTCTAGATCCCAATCACCTTCTTCGGTCATCAGTTGGCTTACCTTGGTATACCTCAAAGGTTCAGCGCAAGGCGTAGATAGAGGAACGTTGCAAGCATCAGCTACCCAATTATGGCCCCACACTAGTGTGTCGTTGCCGTCCCCAATCCGTCGAATGAGTCCCTGGTGTAACAGTTCCCGGCCTGCTAGAATGCTCCTCCAAAGGTAGCTCAGATTATTGCCACTATTTGCCTCAAGAAAATCGGTGTTAGGGAAATACCTCGCTTTTAGGAGCCGGCTTACTAATGAGTTTGGCCGAGTAATAAGTCGCCACCCTTGCTTAGCCAGGAGCGCTCTATTGAATTCATTGAGACGCTTGAAACCCATTCCACCGAAGTGTTTAGGAATTGCTAAACGAGACCAGGACATCCAGTGTATGCCTCGGCCGTTGGTAGACCCGTTCTTCCACCAAAACTGGTTCATCATTTTCTCAATCGAGTCGCAGACGCTTCTCGGGAGTAGAAACACTGACATGGCAAATATCGGCATAGACTGTGCAATACTCTTCAGAAGTACCTCTTTCCCGGCCCTGGACAACAATTTCTTCTGCCATGTACATATCCTGTCACGCAGTCGCTGTTCAATAAATTTAAAAACCAGAGATTTGTTGCGACCCAGAAAGGATGGTAAGCCTAAATACCTTCCAAAATCTTCGACTTGTTGTACCCCAAAAATTCCGGACACCTGTTCTCGTATGCCCACCGGCTCTGTGTTAGCACTGAACATTATGTTGGATTTAGCATAATTGATCACTTGACCTGAAACGCAACTGTACAATTTTAGGCATTCTTGCACTTTTTGCGCTTCCCCTATAGTTGCCTTGAAAAAAAGCATACTATCGTCGGCAAAAAAGAGGTGTGATACAGGCGGGGCTGTCCTAGACACCCGAATGCCATGTATATTACCTCGAGTCTCTTCCTGTTGTAGAAGTAGAGACAACCCTTCCGCGCATATTATAAATAAATACGGGGAAATTGGGTCGCCTTGGCGGATACCCCGAGTTGGCACCACCGACCCCACCACATCTCCATTAACCACAATATTGTATGTGACCGAGTTCACACATAAGAGCACGAGATTAACCCATCTACGGGCAAACCCCATAGCTAGCAGCATATTTTCTAAGAATCCCCATTCCATTCTGTCATACGCTTTAGCCATATCAAGCTTCAGCGCTGTCCATCCCCCATTCCCCCTGCGTTTGCCCCTCAGGTAATTGCCTATTTCCCCAGCAACAATAATGTTGTCTGTTATTAGCCTGTCTGGGATAAAGGCACTTTGAGACGGGAAAATCACCGTATCAAGGACTTCCTTTAGTCGATTAGCAATTACCTTGGCGAGAACTTTGTAGGCTACATTGCATAATGCAATGGGCCTCAAGTCAGAAACATATTCCGGGCAGGACTTTTTCGGGATGAGGACCACGTTAGACGCGTTGAGCCCTTCTGGCATGTGGCAATTATGTATAAAGCTTTTAACAAAGTCTGTAAGGTCCTCCCCAACAATATTCCAAAAATTCTGGTAAAAAGAGGGAGACATACCGTCAGGACCCGGTGCTTTGTCAGGCGCCATGGAAAACAAAGCAGACTTCACTTCTTCGCTATCTATCGGCCTCAATAAGTTCTCATTCATAGCTGTCGTGATGCGGCTCGACACCCTGCTGGCGATGTCACCCACCCGGTCGGATGATGTAAAGATGTCTCCAAAATATCGTATGATTTCTGCATGCATGTCGGTACCATCTACCCACTGGCCTCCCGGCTCACGTATTTGGCGAATGGTGTTAGCTTTGCGTCGACCGGAGGCTGCTTTATGGAAGAATTTGGTGTTATGATCACCTTCTTTCAGCCAAAGCTGCTTGGATCTCTGGCGCCAATAGACTTCCTCCTGGGCAAGAAGTCTTCGCAGATCACGTTCCACCTCCCCGTACTCCGCTACATCAGTATATGTTCGGCTTCCACGCAAAGATTCTAGTTTGCGTTTAAGATTTTGGATTCGCTGGCCAAAATTTCTGAAATAAGAACCCCCCCCCCCCCCCCCCCCCCAATCTCCTTAAATCATTACCGCACCGCTGGATTCGCTCGCCGAAATCAAGGTACTCCGAAGAACTCCAGGACTGCTCTATAACACGCCGACAATCTGCGTCCATGACCCAGGCAGATTCAAACTTGAAGTAATTGCCACCTCTCCGTACGGGGTTAGCTTCCACCCGCAATAAGAGTGCACTATGATCAGAATTTATTGTTAGGATGTTCTGCACCGACGCTTCTACATATGTGTTGCACCAGGATGTTGTAGCCACCGCTCGATCGAGGCACTCTTCAACCCAATGCTCAGTACCCCTACCCTTCTCCCAAGTGAACTCGTACCCCAACATGCCCAGATCGGACAAGTCACAATCCTGTAAGACCTCATTGAAACCCCGCACTAGACTTTCAGGATGTGGAATCGGTCCCCTTTTCTCAGCGTGATTGGCTAGATCATTGAAATCGCCGATCACCACCCAGGGAAGGGATGATCGGGCAGACAATGTTCGTAATAAGTCCCAGGATTGGCATCTCCTAGAACGCTGAGGGTAGCCGTAGAAGCCTGTCAGCCTCCAGGGCGTCATACTCGGAAGCCTAACCTCAACATCAATGTGGTTTTCAGAAAAGCTGAGAAGAGAAGCCATATCATTTTCCTTCCAGAATAGAGCCAAACCACCACTCATGCCCACCCTATCTACACATAACAAACCTTCAAAACCCAAACGAATACGCACATTTTCTAAACGAAATGACAAAGCTTTTGTTTCCATTAAAAAAACAAAATTGGGTCGCTTTTTGGACACCATGCCCAACAATTCTCGAACCGTCCGAGGGCCACCCAAGCCTCGGCAGTTCCAGCTTAGGACACTCATTGGGTAGGGCGAGTCTGGTCTGTCAGACCCGCCGGAGATAAATTCTTCATAGTTTCGGACATAACCACATCCTGGCCTTCCTTTTCACCTGCCCTACGCCGCTTCAAATCCTCCTGCAAACCACCGTTATCTTCATCCGCGACCTCATTTGGATCCTCCCTACCTGAAGTCGGATCACGCATGGTTATTGGAGTCGGAGTGAGTTCAGCTAATAGCCACTTCGCTCCTATTGGTCGTGCCTGTCTTCGATTCCCCGCTCTCATCCAACCCCCATAAGGGAAAACCTCCGGAACAACTCATTCTTCGTAGACCTTCCTGCAGAATTTTTCGGAGTGGCCTAGCACACCGCAATAAAAACAAAAAGTACCGAGCCGCTCGTATTTGAAGTTTATCCACTGAACTGAGCCATCTTTGCGATACATTTTCATCCGACTCTTCAGGGGGACAGACACGTCTAACCGCACCCTGATGCGGAAGAAACTCCGCCACGAGCCACCAAAGTTAAGAGGATCTGCCTTCAGAAAATTGCCGACATAATTGCCGATGCGTTCAATGAAGTCTGCCGATGCATAGATGGAAGGGAGATCATGTATCTGGATCCAGATCGCCATGTTGTTGAGCGCCACCTCCTCCGACCTAGATTCCGCCGTCACCATGCTGCATACCAGAGTGTGGTTCTCGAAAGACCATGGGCCATCGTCCAACACTCGCTGCAAATCCTTCAGATGAGGAAACTGGAACAGGAATAGGTCATCCGCGATCGGGAGGACACGCATCACCATTACCGGACGCCATACCGAAGCCAGGACCTGTTGCATATGGTCGAACTTGATCGGCCGATCCGTGAGGAATCGTCCAACCAAATCATGATGGGGGCTTTCCGTCGAAGATGATATGATATCCGGAGCCGCAAGTCCTCCATTCTCTTCATCTGTCAGCGACAGTCCGGCGCACCCTGTAACAATCGCATTGGTATCCATACTTGTGAATCGGAAAAGAGTCAGGTGATCGTAGAAAGGATCGCTTGCGTTATTTTTGAATCGGAAAAGGATCAGTTGTACGTGTAAAGTATCGCTTGCGATATGTGTGAATCGGATGAGAAACAGATGATCGTGGACTGAATCGCTTGCGTTCGGAGGGTGAATAGCGTGATGGATGATCGGAGGAACACATGCATATAAGCAAAAGAAAACGACGTGGATAGGCCACGATTGCCATAATCTGAATAGAACAGCCATAGTGGGGAAGGGAAACCCTAGAGAACTATGGAGAAACTCTCTAAGCACTACCTAGAGAGAGAACCACGATCCAATATAGGTGAGAATATTTTTTAATTAAAAAGCAATAAAACTTTTTTAGAACCGCTACTAAAATATATTTTTATAGTCACCATTTAATTATATTTTTTTAATCCTAAATCTCCATGTTTAAATAATCATTGCATTCACAAATAAATGTCATATATACACAATCAATTTAAATTAAAATCAATTATAACTAATTCTTGCAAAATACAGAATAATAACCTTAACGTACACAATAGTGTATATATTAAAATGAGAAAACGACGTTTTTGACCCCTCAATTGTTTTACTTTTAAAAATTTAGCCCCTGTGAATTGATTTGAACAAATCTAACCCTCTAATTGTTTATAATGTGGCACATTTGGTCCCTCATGTTATATAATTTATATAATTTATTTATTCAAAATTAAAAATATTTTTTATTATAAATAAATACATAAATTTAAAAAAAAAATATATATATATATATATATATATATATCGCCACCGGCTGTCCGGCGGCTCGGACAGCCGATGGCTGTCTTCTTAACGGACAGTCATGGCTGTTCGTTAGGACGGGCACGGCCGTCTGAGGAAGACGGCCATGGTCAACGAAGGAAGACGGTCATGGCCGTCTTCTAGATCTGGAACGAGGGCTACGACCTTCGCCGCCGCCTTCGTTCTAGTCCCCTCCATCTGGAACGAGGGCGGTGGCCATGGCTGTAGCCCTCGTTCCAAATCTAGAAGACGGCCGTCTTCCTTCGTCGGCCGTGGTTGTCTCCGTGAAGAAAACCTGATTGTCCAGCGCGGATAGTCGGTGGCTGTTCTTCTTTTTAAAATTTTTTTTTTATTTGTAATAAAAATATGTTTATTTTTTAATAAATAAATTATATAAATTATTAAAAACAATTCTAATTATATAACATGAGGGACCAAATGTGCTACATTATGAACAATTAAAGGGTTAAGTTTGTTCAAATCAATTCACAGGGGTTAAATTTCTAAGTAAAACAATTGAGGGACCAAAAACTCCGTTTTCCCTATTAAAATAAAACCAATTGTTACTAACACTTGTCACACTATAACATTCAACAATATTCAAACACAATAGTCTACATATATAGTAATTAATTTCCATACATAACTAAAAAGTTTTTCATATGAAAAATATAAATGAGATGGTATCGATATTGATCCTACATCTAAGCTTCAATACAGTGTCTTGGCTTGTGAAATCGAACCAATATTAAAGAGGTCGTGGCACTGGGAAAGATTGCAATTCCTGAAGACAACAATATAATATATATAATAGAAACTCCAACAGAGCAAGTTAAAGTGAAACAAGAAACTTGCGTAGTGAATATACATGAAACTCCATTTCCTTGGAATGATTTATATTATATTCTATTGAAAACCATATAAGTAAATGTAATCATTTACAAATAAAAAAAAAAAAAAAAACACATACCTTTTTTTGAGTGCAAAAAAAAAAAAAAAAAAAAAAAAAAAAAAAAAAAACACATACCTATTTGAATTGTTTTATGAACTAAAATGTCAAAACTACAAAATAAATAGGTTGAGAAAAACCATTCCATATTTCCATATATGATCTGAGTGTAGTCATGCCTCCATTACTTCAGTTTGTTCAGCTCAACCTGAACCTGATGTGACCATAACATCTGCCGATTCGATCAGACAATGAAATTGATGAACCAGCTCACGTTGCAGAGCCGATGAATCAGAACCTGAGGCAATGTCTTCGGTCAAGAAGTGAGAAAAGCCTTTTGGAATTCTTATTTATGTTGCTAATACTGCGCCCTCTCCTCTCTTTTAGTCTCTCTTTTCGCTGTTATCTCCATTGATTTTGTTTTTATTTCACTATACATGGAGAATACTTTAAGAACACTAGATCTACCTTAAAAGTTATATTTTGCAAATGTTCTTTTATTCATTCTACGCCACTTTTGTATTGCAGCATGGAGACAATCACCTTTGGGGATGATGCTAAGGAGGTATAAGATAGATTCTATCTTTACCCAATACATCTTTTGTATATTAACTGTGCTACAAAAATCCAAGAAGCATTTGAAGGAGATAAACAGAGATTGTTTGAGCCTTGGATTTAGGTTCCAATCAAGAAGAAACAAGTTGCATTGTAACCCTCAAAGGTGATGCTAATTTAACAATGGAATGGATAAGAAAGTGAGTAATGCAAAAATCCCACAAAAAAGCTTAAAGAAAAAACTCAAAAAACTTTGTAAGGAACTTACATTCCTTCAACTCATGGATTGTTGAGGTTGTTTACACAGAAGCCCCATGAGGAGTATTTATACCTATTCCACCTCCTTAATAGATGGTGGAGATCTATTTTCATCCTATGACTAAGATTTGCTCTCTAGAATCCTCTAAAAAATCTCTACAAGTAGGAGGATTCCTTAATGTTCTAGAACATTCTATATATCTCTACTACCCCTAGTGTTATGTATATGCTTCTAGAATATTCTACCAACGATGGGATGCTATGTACAAGTGCTAGAAAAGTCTAAATATGTAGCAAACCTCGGAAATGTATAGCAAAGATGCACGGGCGTTACACACAGCTCCCCTAGATGCTGGGCTGGCAGGATGATAGAGTTGAAAATACACTCTTCATATCCTATCCTCTGAGAGAATTAATTACATTCTTTAACTTGGGGTTCCTCTCTAGTCCTCATACAGCCATTCTGGGCTGACTACTATCAAGTATGCTCTTTTAATTCTTTTTTATCTTCCTTCTATGTTTTTGCCATGATAGTTTTATCCTCTCCAGTCCTCATACAATCTTCTTGCTTGCTTGCTTGCCGCCGAAAGCAAGAAAAGAATAAAGGGAGGAGCAAGAAGAGAAGAAGAAAAAAAAAAAGTGAAAAATAAAGAAGAAATTGTTCGTTACTTCTTACCTTGTTCATTAATGGCCGTTTGGTTCACGGAATAGGCCTCAAATGATATAGCATTCCCAATAATAGGCATATTCTTTTGTTTGGCAAACCTTTACCTATTACCTCAAATAAGGTAATAGCTATTACTAGAGCCCCCAAGTATTAACCTATTCCTGAGTCCTCAGGAATAGATTTTTTTTTAAATTCTTTTTTTTAACCTTTTCTTAACCTATCTTAGCGGGCTTGGAATGTGGCCGCCCCGTCTCGCCATGCCAAAGCCTGCCATCCAATTTTTCACTGTGTTAATTAAAAAAAATATGCCAGAGTACAGTAGTAACACTACCCAGTATTCCAGTAACACTACCCAATTGTTTCACTGTGTTAATTTAAAAAAATATCAATGTATGAATTTAAAAAAATATCACTGTAAAGAAACACTAACACTACCCAATATTCCAAATTTCCAATATCATATTAATCTAACACAATTACACAAATCAAAATAACACCAAGGGAAAATTGTAAAAAATGCCCCTCTATAATATGTCAATTATCAATGTCACCCCTGAATTATGAGTGGTGTAAATGTTGCCCCTCAATTATCAAAACGGTGCACATATAGCCCATCCCGTAACGGACATGTGGTTCCCCGTTAGTGTACGACACCGTTAAGTCTGAGTAAATATGTAATTTAGCTGTTTTTTCCCTCCCTCGATTCGATGTACCAGCGATGGACAGCGGTGGGGAACCACATGTCCGTTACGGGAGGAGCTATATGTGCACCATTTTGATAATTGAGGGGCAACATTTACACCACTCATAATTCAGGGGTGACATTAATAATTGGCATATTATAGAGGGAAATTTTTTACAATTTTCTCTAACACCAAAAAAAAAAAAAAAAAAAAAAAAAAAAAAAAAAACATGTATTAAATACTAAATACTAATACAAAATAACTAACTAAAAGAAATTATCCAAACTATCAAGTTTCTATTCAACATTAGGAATAATACTGAAGGTCTAAAACTCATCATTCATCAACCATTATATCATTCATGTCATGGTCTTCTTCTCCTTGATCTCTGTCATCATTGATTTGGACAACATTTGAATCTTCATGAGATAACAATCCTCCACTCTCATTAGAGCCTTCTAACCCTTCTTTATCTTCTACATAAAAAAAATATACAAAAATGATATTTAAAAGTAAAATTACAATAAACAAAAAATAATAATAACTAAGAAAATGTAAAGAAAAAAATTTGTTTATTAGCTTACCAATTGAGAGTGAGCATCTAAAACTCAATTAGTATAGGTTGCTTGGTGAGCCGACAATCAAGCCAACTTATTAGGTTTCGAGCGGATAAAAGCGGACATGGGGACTCGGGTTGGGGCACAATGAATCCCCCATCATTTGCTTGTTGTGCATTGACAGTACCAATATCCATGTTGTTTTAAGATATGGTTTCCTGTTGACATCTCTTCTAATTCGTCGATATGAGAAGCAAATTGTTGTGTGAAGGAATCGGTCTATTTTCTCTGACTTGACACAACTTGACCTACTTGACTCAGCGGTTACAGCTGTGTGGATCATACTATCAAATAATATACATCCAGTATACAAATAATGTACTTTTAGTATTGATATAGTATATACGGGTTAAAGTACGTATACTGGGAAGGGCTGAAGCTCGGGTTCCAAACAATGGGTCGGGAAGCTTCGGTTCAGCCTAATGCCAAAAGTCCCTTTCAAGTTGCATTTAATGCACTATATATAGGAGGAAAAAAGAGCGAGTCCCGATTCTCGGCATGGCTGGCACGTGGCGGGCATGCACCGGCTACAGGCGAGGCCGGATAGTTGGTCGCCATGCGGCGGTCAAAGCCTGGAACCTCCTGGGGTCGTGGGTAGCAACGGGATCGGGCCCAATCGACAAGGCGATGTGGGCCGGTCGGTCTTGCGGCGATCTTGACCCAGGCAAAGGGCTCGGTTGGGATGGCTGCCCTCTGGACGGTCGGTCGGTCAATCGCCGATCGGGTCGGGTGACGGTTCGAGAGGGTTGCGGGGCAAGTGGCCAGATCGACACCTTTAAGATATACGGTCTTCGGTCGTTACCGGTCGTGGGACACGCTTACCGAGGGTATATCCCTATCAAGTATATTAAAAATGTACATTGTATTAATGAAAAGTACATTATTTGAGTATTAAAATTATATTATTTTGTATAATGTACATTCAAAACACGAATAATGTACTTTTAGTATATTAAAAATGTACATATTATTATGGTCCACACAATAATTTGCCCGTGAGTCGATAAAACTCACATTTTTAAATGGTTTGTTGAGATAGTCTTGAAAGGCCAATGATTGTTGAATCAATCCTTAGACCATGGACCAAGGTTCACAGTGCACTGTGGACCCTGTGCATATGTATATGTATATGTTTTATGTCGTGAGTTTTTGTGTCTTGTGTTATGAAATTCTGTATTTTAAGAGTATGAATTTTGTACCTGAAACAAACTAGTAATTTTGTTTTATGTTATGAATTTTTGTGTCTTGTATTGTGAAATTCTATATATATGAACAAAAATTATGTACTTAAATTTAATTTAAAAATAGGTAAATATATAACATGTGTATGCGTCTTGTATTCTGATTTTTTGTGTCTTGTATTACGAAATTATGTACCTTACAAGTTGAATTTTGTACCTCGTCGTTTTGATCTCTGGCGCACGTTAAAACTTACCGTTATTTGATCAATTTAAGGTGTTGTCTGCTGTCGAAAAAATTCTCCATCAATGAACTTCAGCCAAAAGATTACAGAATAAAGAAAAGGTAAAATATAAAGCAATAGACAGCAGAGTTAACATAGCACATTTAACACCAGGAATTACAGACTTACTACTGTATTTCTTATTGCCTCTCACTTCACATTCACACTTGACAATCGAATACTTTGTATACTAAGCTACACCATACAGATAGATAACCCGCTTTATTTAACTTCAATTCAATTCAAATCAACAATGAAAAGCCAGACAATTAACATCTATCAGTCTCGTATGAGTAGGGAAGTACCAGTTTCCATCTGGAGTCTAAGCACTAATATCAGCATTCATCTATGAGGAGGATCCACTGTCCTAACATTTGCGCCCCTCATCCCTTCGATCCTATCTTTCGTGATCTCAACAAAGTGACCCACCATTTCGTGAACCTGCTGTAGCCCTGACAATGGGAGAATGATGGAAGAGCGATCAGAACCCGCCACCTGCAATTAACGTTTCAATGAGCATAAACCATTTCCTGACATTGTAGCATGTGTTCAGAATGTCATACATACACTGCTCTCACATTACAACTTTGGCATATACAAAATCCTCAGTTTTCGAAAATTTAACAAATCAAACCTCAGATATTCTCAGGAAGTGGCCTCTGCTGTTGCTTCCAAGATCAAAGAAGAATCTCTTCTGGTCAACTCTGATTACCTTAGAGACCGCTAAGTTATTAATTTCTTCGGGTCCTGCCAAATCAACGGAGTGGTCTATATTCAAGTTAGCTTTTGGAGCAGGCTGAGAGGTGTGGCTGGATATGAAACCAGCCCCTACATCATCCGAAAGTCCTAGATGTTCTGAAGTTTCAGAAGCTTGCTGTTTTAACTCTCACAGAAAGGCAAACAAGGTGGTTCAGTTAGCGATGAATCTGGAGCGGAAGGGGTACGGTCGGAGAGTGTATTCATGTAAAATACCTGATTGGGCACGATATAAAGGCTCAAGGTTTCATTTATTTCTGCCAAAATATTCCTAAATGTTGCCCATCCCTCATCTCGAGCACTTCCTGCCGGGACAATAATAGTACTGCGATTTCTATTAACTGAAGCTTCAGATACCTACATATATGTAAACTTGTTTATGATCAGAACCCTTGAGAGAAATACCAAAACCGAGCATAAGCAAAAGAACAATTTGCTTTCCCATACTACTATGAAGGATAACAAAAAATTTCTGCCACCCGAAAAAACATGTGGTTAAGTAATAACATAACACTATATACACAGTAGTAGACATAACAGATTAGCAACTGAATTTCTTAGAAGACCATAGGACTCGTGACTTGGATATGGAAAACTAATAAATATTGTCCTCTTTATCAGTAATCTCATATTTCCGGTTTGCTGTTTTATCATAGCAATCTCATATTTTCACCACCATTGAATGTTTAAACAAAAGAACCACGCACTATAATAATCTTCCTTTCCAAGCTCGTTTTCTCTATTCCCACAACTACAATTGATATCATCTAGTCCATTTTACAATGATCTCCTATCTCAACAATGGACAGCATACCATGTTAGGAGAAAACCATAATCCAAAAATCGAGCTAAAATTAAACTATTAAAGTGAATCCAATTTATGAACCCACAATGAAATTATCTTTAATTTGTCTCCTATTACAAAGCACCGAACATATGCTCTTACCACTATGCCAAAAGTTATAGCTCATAGCAAAAGTGCAACTTTATATATACGGCCAAAGCCATAGCTCGACACAACTTTATTTCCTTATATACCGTCACCCCATTTTCGAGAGGTAGGATGACTTGGTCCTTCACCCGCCTCCGCCCAACAATCCCCTAACCACCAATTCCTAGACTTGACCCTTCATCGGCCTCCCGCCGTCATCCTTAGAAATACTAGGTAATGATTTTGTTAATTAAACCTGCAAAAGGTACACTACTCCATATATCATTGCTTTTCATTCTTAAACCTAATTCTCTAACAGTTTTCTGTAACCAAAATTGAGCATATTCTGGTGAGCTAGCTAGCATTATTCAAATCAGGGGTAATGAAGAATGTAATAATGCAGTTTGCAGTGAAAATACTATATACCTTGAGAAAACGGCCCCTCCTATTCTCACCAATATCGAAATAAAAGACCTGCAGACTCGAACAGAAGAGCTAAAATGTGAATTAAGGGTTCAGAGAAAGAAGTTTGAATTGAATATGAGAGTAGAAAGAATGGTGCCTTGGAGTCGAGCTGGAGTTCTTTGCTATAGACTTCCTGGTCGTCGTGGTCGGAATTGACGTAGTAATTGAAGAGATCGAGAAACCAGGAGATGCCGGCGGAGGGGACGATGATGGTGGAGCGCGTGGAGGAGGTTTTCTCCGAGATCTTGAGGTACCGCCCGCGAGGATTCTCCTTGAGATCAAAATAGAAGAGTTTGTGTTCCACCTGCAGCGTCTTCGACAGAAGCTCCACGTCGTTTCCTCCGCCGCCGGAATTCCCCTCCATCAACTCCTCCTCTGCCGGAAAAATTGACCTCGAAATTGAAGCTCGAAACGCAGATGTTGAAGGGAATTAATGTTTGGGAAGCATTGAATTTGTTGAAGCTAGCGAAAATGGGAGGAGCAGTGATAGGTGGAAGTGGAAGGAGAGTGCATATTTTTCAGTGGAGCGGTACCCACGAAACAGCCATGGCTGACTGCCGTGTTTTCTTATCCCAATGATTGACAAGAAAATGACAACACTGTTCCTCAGCTCCTAAGTTTTCACTTATATTTCTGTTCCGTTTTATTTTGCAGTTTTTTCAACGCCATCTTACGTGCCATATCTACAGATATCATCATAATATTGACTTTCTATATATTTTTGTATTTGATGAAATTATTTTTTCTGTGGAACTATTTATTTATGAAACTACTATGCTTTACTAACTTATATATTATGAAATAGATGTGTATTTGGAAACTAGGAAAATAACTTATGAAAAGTAAGTTAGTTTTTAGAAAATATTTTTATTTTTGATAGTATAACATGTATAGAAATGTATAAGAGGAGAGCAGATAGAGAAATTGGCCTAAAAAGCTTTTATTATTCAATATTGTAGAGAGAGAGAGAGTATAGGAGAAGAGGCCCCTAACTTGTATGTGAAGTGGCGTTTATAAATGAGTATCCTTTAACTGTTTGACTCGATATCGAGTAGATACATGTATAGGGAGATATACTCAAGGAATAATTCCTATCATGTATCCCACCAGACCGTGCCCTGACGTCAAGCTAATGAGGAAGGGTTTAGGCTGAAAAATCTGATCACATAATCCGTGACAAGCCCCTCAAGTCTGAGTTGAGCGTAGGGGTGTGCTTTATATTGGTTGCCTCATTAAAAAATCTTAAACTAAGGAAAACGCAACGGGAAAAAAAACTTAGCTAAGGGAAAAGAGTACAACCATAAAGTGCAATCTTTTGGACTATAATTTCTGAATTTTACCAATATAGGGATCGGGTTTTTAGCATGATTGAAAGATCAAATTTTACCGATCTAGCGATCGGATTATTAGTTACGATTAGGAGATCGAATTAATTACCCCTTAAATAAAAAAATAAAATATAATTCAACCCCTTTTGTTACCTAGTTAGAGACCTCATCAGTTTGAGATTTTATTTGGTTTTTGCACATGAGTAAGAGAGAACACGGGAGAGAGAGTGGATAAAAGGAAAAAAAAAAAAAAAAAGAATTTACGCGCCTAGCTGGGCGCTTTTAGTGCACTTCATGCGACAAACACAACTTTTTCAATTTTGGTGGGGGTCCATTATGCAAATAAAACCACGTCATCCGCTAAAACTTAAAATCTTCTATCTCCTCCATATGTGCAACAAAACCTACAAAAACCATCTAAAATCCACTATTGTGCAGTGGACGCTTAAAAAAGCAGTTAAATGGCTTGTTTGATTTTAAAAAAAGGCTTTTTTTTTTAACAAAAAAAAAGGCTTATTTAATTACAAATATTTTTTAAAAATAAACATAAAAATATAACAGGGTCAACTCACTTTGTATCAAAATGATCAAAATGCCTTTGTATTTAATGATATTTCAACTATTTTGTTAAGGATGGCCAAAAATGGTTATGCAACAATAATATTACGACCAAATGTTAATGTTCTGATAAATTAAAAAAAAAAAAAAAAAAAAAAAAAAAAAAAACTAAAAGTTGACTGTCATCTATTAATAAATTAAGATAAAAAATGAAATTAACTCTTTTATTTATTTTTTTTCACGAATATGAAAATATTAAATTTTTATTTCAGATTATATCGATAATCACAGTGTCTTAATGATATTGTAATTGCTATGTTTTTGAGCTCCCATTTTCACTGAGAAGATAAGCAGTAACATGAAGAAAAAAGAAAACAGATTACGTGCACGGTTGCAATAGGTGAGACAAAGCAGATGAACTGAAAAAAAAAAAAAAAAAAAAAAAAAAAAAAAAAGAAGAAGAAGATTAGGGCAGAAGAAGCAGGTGAAGCAGAAAATGTGTTAAGTAAAATTATAACTTATTTCAAGGCTTTTAAAATCTGATTTTCGTTTTTTTTTTTTTTTTTTTTTTTGTTTGTTTTAACCTATGCTTATATGGCGAGTCAAATATTAAAATTATTGATACTTTGGCTCTGTTTGACAGAGCTTATTTAGGAGCTTATAGTTTATTTTAAACTACTAATAAACTATAAGCTCTGTTTGGTAATGTTTTCAAAATAAGTTCATAGCTTCCTAACATTTTTTTTCATCTTTATCCTTATTATTTTAAAAAAATGACATAATTTATCCTTCCCAATTAAAACTCTTTTGTCTTTTCCTTTATCTGCAACTTTCACTGCAATTATTATTATTATTATTATTATTATTATTATTATTATTATTATTATTATTATTATTATTATGAGATTTGCAACAATATTGCTACTTCATTATGAGATGCTAGATGATGATTATGCTAATAGTTTTATTTCAAAATGTTAATTTTTTTTTAAAGACAAAATGTTAAATTTTAATATGTAAACAAACTAATTTAAATTTTATGAAGATGTCCTTTTTAGTCTTTTTACATTTATCAGCTTATCAAAAAGTTAAATTTGCCAAACACTTTCAATCATAACAGCTAGCTTAACAGCTCTTCAGTTTTCAGCTCCGAGCTTATAGCTTTCAGCTCCTAGCTTATAGTTTTTCAGCTATGTTTGCCAAACAGAGCCGTTATCTGTCACATAGGTTTTTACGGAAGGTTCGGGAGAGTTAACCGACTATTGAGGTGGAATGCGCTAAAAACATCTTCAGTTTTTAGCTCCGAGCTATAGCTTTCAGCTCCTAGCTTATAGTTTTTCAGCTATGTTTGCCAAACAGAGCCGTTATCTGTCACATAGGTTTTTACGGAAGGTTCGAGAGAGTTAACAGACTATTGAGGTGGAATGCGCTAAAAACATCTTCAGTTTTCAGCTCCGAGCTTATAGCTTTCAGCTCCTAGCTTATAGTTTTTCAGCTATGTTTGCCAAACAGAGCCGAGCCGTTATCTCGGGAGAGTGGAATGCGCTAAAAACATTATAGTATCTGTTCATATACTTTCTCAACCTACTGAAACACAAAGAACCAATAACGCCTCCAATGAGGCTCGAACTCATAATCTTCCAAATGGAAGTCCAACCCGGGTACAATTGGACCACCTACTATTAATTTTATTACAATGCAGTAATTGTTCATAACTACTTTCTCAACCTACTGAAATACAGAAAGTCAATAGCGGCTCCACTTAGGTTCGAACTCACAACTTCTCATGTTAGGGCATCCCCATTAGGGGGATCTTCCCTCATTTTGGAACAATAAAATCTCCATGTTTAATTTGTTAACTAATGGGAAGCAAAAAAACATACCACATTTTTCTCCTGCAAAAACAAAAAATTTGTCAGAATTTTAAAAAAAAAAAAAATAAGAAAAGAAGGGTGAGACGCGCAGGTGCGTCTCACCCTTCAGCCTGGCGGGCGCGTGTAACACACGCGCCCGCCAAGGCGTTTCAGAGTGGCCGCCAACTGGCGGCCACTCTGAAATTAGTGATTTTAGTTTGGCAACGGCCAGAAGGCCGTTGCCCCTTAATTATTTTTTTTTTCTTTTTTTGTTTTTCTTGTTTTAATTATTATTATTAATAATAATATAATTTTTGCTATAATTATAATTTTTGTAATTAATAATTATGATTTTATTTGCTATAAATAACACTTCTTTTACAATTTTTAACACTTTTTATTTGCAATTTTTACGTATGCTAATTTACATATTATTTTTACGTATCATTTATGTTTATCTCTAAAATTATAAATTTATAAATGAAATAAATAAAGAAATAATTAAAATATAGAGATAAAATGGTGGGTCCACAAAAAGTTGTGAAAAACTTAAAACTAATGGGAAGAAGAGATTTTGTGATTGAGTGAGATAGTTGATGATGAGGTGGATGTTGGGGCCCACAAAAATTAGGGGTAAAATCCCCAACTATTGAGGATGCCCTTAGAGTAACTTGGGAGTTTAAGTGTATTTTTTAAAAAAGTTTAAGAATTTAATTAATTTTTTCTCTATTTAATTTGAATTTATCATATCAATTTTTATCTACGGATAATAGAGTTTTAGCAAAAACTACTGCCTTTCACTCTCGCCCCAACGCGGCCACGTCCAGTCGCCCCCAGACGGCTAGAGACTATCGCTCCGCCGGTCGCTGCTCCGTCAACCTCAGCAACAGCCGGCAACTCTATCGCCCACTGAAGTAGCCTCACGGAGTTACGCTGTCATGACTCTCAATTTGGTATAGCATTTGATATTTGTATTAATTGATTCTGTATTTTCATGTGTTTTTAAATTATTATATATTTTTCAAATAGATTAGAGGTGAAATTGGTGTATTGTGTTTTTAACAGTGTGTGTGAATTATGATTGTTGAATAGGATTGTGATTTTGACAGTGTCTGCAGTGTGTATGATTGTGAATTAGTGTTGTTCTTAGCAAAGGTTTCTTCTTTGCAAATTTACCTAGCTAAGGTTTATTTATAGTGTGTGTGTGTGTGTGAATAGTGCTTCCAACTTTGCTGCATTGATGGGGAAGTGCTTTCATTTCACAAATAGGATTGTGATTTTCAAATCGGACCAATTTATGCATTAGACAAAGTTACCAAGTTTATCTTTATTTTTCAAGTATATTAAACGGGATTGGGGTACAAGGTTTGGGTGGGTATGAGTAACATTCATCCAGGTTTGGGTAGTTCTAGAGCTATGTGGTATTGGGTTTGGGGAGGGCTTAACAGACGGAACCCTATGTCATTGCTAAGTACACAGGAAATTGGAATTTAGAGAAAGTGAGGGTGATTGCATAAGAGAAGAGCAAGATCCATGAGAGATCACTCTTGCTTTCTTTGAATTCCAATTTTTTGTATACGCATGTATCCATTGATACGTTTATTCTTGAAGTATTAATTTGGGTAGCTGTTTCTTGATAATACTGTTTGCTTGAATTCTTCATTTCTTTGTGTATAGAAGATAGGAAAGTTCGATGCTTATATTTTTCTATTTCTTGTATTCTATTGTACTTTTAAGTTCTCATTTCCTATTAGGTTTATTCTTGGAGTAATAATTCTCCTGGTATGGCTTTCCGTTTTCTTTCAGCATCTTCAAATGCCAACTGTGTATCTTTCTGTGGTCAATGTAAAGCTTCATTGTTATTGGTTCTTGCATTTTATTTATTTAATTTGTTCTTCTCGCTGGTTGTTTGATATGATGGAAAATCTTGTATTTGCAAGGATCCTATTGCGATTCACTTATAATGGATTGTAAGTAACTATTGCATGTCAGATGAAGCGTGTTGGAAATACAGGTAGGTTAGATTTTCCGTTATGAACTTATTCTGTACACCATTAGGTCTTTGAACACTTGTTTGTGAGGTGGGGGGAGGGGGAGATCTATGGCCTGCTATAGTTGCATTTATTGGTATTTAGTTTTTCTTTTTATACAGGAAATATTAGCACTATGATTGATATTATACTTGTAAATAAATGTGTATTTGCCGGGTAATTTATATCTTGCATAAAATTCTATAGGATCAAGCAGAGTACACCATCCAGAATAAAGACCAATGCCCCGAATGCAATGCCTGAATGCCATCCCCATCTCTGCTGCAGTCCCACTTGCCAGAAGGCTCATGTCAAGCCTCGCTTGCCGCAATCTGTTCATCGGAGGTCTCTCTAATCTTACTTTATGCAAAGGGTTTATTTGTTGCTTATAAGCTGTTTGACAAATTGTCTAAATATCAATGAATTTTATGCTGCACCATAATTGGTAGAGTTTGATGAACCATTAATCAGTAGATAATTGATTAAAGTTAAACCGGTGCATATTTTGAACAAATCCCAGATTTGGGTTCTCTGTGCCATCCTAAATTATATTACACACCAATGTTTCAGGCCTTTCATACGACACCAATGAAGCTGTCCTTAAGGGAGCTTTTGAGAGCCATGGTGAATTAATTGAAGGTAATTATTACTAGAAAATCCAGTGACCTTTTCCAGTTTCTGCAACATTTTGCTACCTCTGAAGACAGGATACATTGTATTGCGTGTTTTAGTGAAGGTAATATGTGACCACAAAAGTGGGAAATCCAAGGGCTATGGGTTTGTGAAATTTGAGTCTGAAACTGCAGCAAGCAAGGCTTTAAAGGAAATGGATGGCCAGGTACTTCTAAAAGTGTTTTTAATGCATATACTTTACCAGTCTCTCCTGGATTTATTATTATGCTTCTATGTAGTTATTGGATGGCAGAAGTATAAGAGTCCATTATGCCCAGAAAGGATGACTTCCAAGGATACCACACATGATACTTTAGTTTCTGCGCAGTGAGCAAAAATCTAGTCTCTGTCGATCAGTTGAGTCACCATGGTTTTTTCCTCTACTATCTTGTCGGGCCGAGGTGTAGGGGCGCTTGGGGTGGGCGAATTCACTTACTTTTAGTGGCCCCTTTTCTGTGTCTGTATGGTGTAACAACTGGAATTCTTGGGGTCCTCTTGGGTTCAAGTTGGTTCAAAATGATGAAAATTATTTTTCAAACAGAATAGTTACAAGATGTACCAAATAAATTCATAAAATGATACAAGATAGCTCAAATCTGAACAAAATTTACTTTTTTTAAGCATGAGTCTTGTGGAGTACAAAGAACACTTGAGTCACAAATTTTAAGCATGTGAAACATAATGTGTCAAAAGTTTTTTTTTTCCTTACTAAATTTATTATTTAAATTATTAACAAAAATAATCTGTATAATTGATTTATTATATTAATAAATATAATAAAACAATACAAAACAGTTATATTAACTTCTATATCTTTTGGTCAAAACATTTAAGTAATCTTTCTGCATAATTTTTTTTTTTTTTTTTTTTTTTGGCTCAAGCAGTGAAGTAACAACTTTTTTTATTCTCTTGGGCAATCAACAGAGAGGTACATATGGTTGAAAATCTTTAAACTCTTTAAACAAGGTCAAAATATTGTTTAACCTTACGACAGTTATGTCTGATCATATAAATTTAAGGAATAAGGGTCAAATAGGCCCATCAACTGCACACCAAAGTGCAATTAGACCATTGAACTCAAAAAGAATGCAATTAAGCCATTGAACAACATAAAAACATGCAATTTAGCCCAAAATGACTTGTTTACCTAGAGTGCAAGTTACCAATTTCAAAATTAATTTTTTAAAATAATTTTTAATAAATAAATAATTAAATTATTATTATTAAAAAAAAAAAAAAAAACAGAAACTTCCAGCCGGAGACGAATCGTCTCCGGCCGGCTACGTCTCCGTGGCCGGAGACGGACCTCCGTCTCCAGCCAGGGAGACGAAGGACGTCGTCTCCATAGCCGGAGACGATTCGTCTCCATAGCCATGGAGACGAAGGCCTTTGTCTCCATGGCTGGAGACGGAGGTTCGTCTCCGGCCATGGAAACAAAGCCGGCAGTTTCTGTTTTTTTTTTTTTTTTTTTTTTTTTAATTAATTAATTAATTTATTAAAAGTTATTTTAAAAAATTAATTTTGAAATTGGTAACTTGCTACTCTAGGTAAACCAGTTATTTTGGGCTAAATTGCATGTTTTTGTGTTGTTCAATGGCTTAATTGCATTCTTTTTGAGTTCAATGGCCTAATTGCACTTTGGTGTGTAGTTGAGTGGCCTATTTGACCATTATTCCTAAATTTAATAATTTATTATATAAATCTCCAATAGATGTGTGATAGTGTTCTGGCCAGTTATACAGTGGACCATGGTTGTTCTGGCCAGTTATACAGTGGACCATGGTTCACAATGCTATGTGGACCATACTCCAATCCGATCGTTAAATAAAATTAAAGTGGAGCTAAAATTATAGTTTAGTGTTTGTAAAATGAAATTGTTGTTATAATGAAACGTGTGTGAAAAATGAAACTAAAAAATAGGATTTGTACAATAACATATACTGTCAAATGAACATGAAGTAATTAAAATTATACTTCAACGTTAATATAATTAAACATTGGGATAAGTAATGTAATTAGATCATCGAACTAAAAAAAAGTTCAATTAAATTCTTAAATTGATTAAAATTATGCAATTAACATATTTAACAGGTTACCGGTCAGTTTTGATTGCATGACGTCCTATGTGGCATCTCATTCAAAAATAAAAATAAGCTAAAAAAAAACAAATTAAAAAAATAAAAAGTTGTCGGCTTCTCTGTAAGTTTAGAGCAGAGAATGACGGAGAAGCCATGGCTATTCTGTTTAAACCGATGGAGAAGCTATTAGCTTCTCCATCCGTTTCGAATGAAGAAACTGGCGATTTCTCCATCCGATGGGACGGAGAAACCGACTAATTTTTTATCGTCCAGATTGGATGGAGAAACCTGCAAGCTACTTCGTCCATGTCGAACTGGACGGCTCTGTCCAGTTTGACATGGACGAAGAAGCCATGGCAGTTGCTGCCATGGTAATCTTTAAAAAAAAAAACAAACAAAAAACAAAATAATTTAAGTATACTTATTTTGATTTATTATTTTAATAATTTTTTTAAAATATTAATCTATGTGGCATCTTACGTGACATTCGTGTGACATTTGATAAAATGTTATTATAGGTTAGATTAGTTAATTACATATTTTTAACAAGTGTAAGGGTTTAATTGAAGCTTTTTTTTTTCTTTTCTTTTTTTAGTTCGAGGGTCTAATTGCATTTTGACATATAGTTGGAGGGCTTATTTGACCCTTATCTCTTAAACATTTAAACTAGTGTGCGTGGAAAATGAAACTAAAAAAATAGAGCTTATGCAATAATGAATATTGTCAAATGAAACTGTAGTAGAATTAAAATGATACTTTAATGTTGTTCTAATGAAACTAGCTAGTTTGTAGAAAATAAAACTAAAAAACAGAGTAATATTATCAAATGAAGCTGAAATATAATTAAAGTAATAGCTAATAGCTATAGCGTCGAAATAGCCTAAAAATCCCATCTGAAATCAATTAATGAGGTATTTATAGCCAAGAGAAGGGGACAGGTCCCGGCCCGGCGGCATGCCCGCCGCGTGGAAGTCATGCACGGGTGAGAGCGGCGGTCCAAAGGGTTAAGATCACGTGTTCCAAGATTCCTGACTACGCAAGGTCGAACATCGAGGCCTTGGAGAGGTCGGTCTAACCTCGGATAAGAATCACATGGGAGAACCCTTTTTTGGGGCTACCCTGCGATCGAGATCGGAAAACAAAGATGGTCGGGAAGAGAAAGCATTTAGGTCGGTGATGGTCACTGGTCAGGCCGGGTTTGGCCCAACCCATAGGTCATTTACCGACCACTGTAGTAGGCACGAAGCCCGGGGAATAATCCCTATCAATAATAATAACATATTTTTAAATATTTTTATTAAACAATGACTTTGTGGTTTAGTGGCACAAAGTGGCTCTTCTAAATGGGAGGTTACGAGTTTGAGCGTATCTAACATTAGAAACTTGAAAAAAAATTATTTTTCAGGTGTTCAAACACACCCTTAATGCATTAAATCCAATAAACAAAGAAATGTTTTTAAAGCTTTTGTATGATTTGTTTTCTACCCCTAGTTGTCGAAACAGGCCAGCGGGGTAGGACACACCAAAACCTGCCATATGGCAAGGCAGGCTAAAAAATCTGCCAAAATACGGGCTTAAAATAGGTCAGCACGCCACCGCGTTAGGCCCGCTGGCCTTGGCGGGGGCTTGTCAAATGTAAAATTTTTTAAATTTAAATAAAAATTAATATAAAAAAGTTAATAAATGTATACTAAAATAATTTGAATAATTTAAACACATCTTTGTCAAGAATGGCCCATGCCCTTTCAGACCAGTACCTGAAACTGGCGCCTTAAACCAACTCGACCATCTTGACAACTTTGTGTATATACTTGACGTAACAATAAGAATGCTTTTGCACTTTGTATGCAATGTTATATAATTGAATAGATTTTTTTTATTTTTTTTTTATTTTTTTTTTTGGATCGATGAGGAGGGGTGAGCCCAAAAAAAAAAAAAATCACTGACATCTGAGAAACGTCACTCCCAGTTGATCATGTCTAATTAGCTCTTCAACATCTAGAGGTGCTTTGGAGAGCTCACGAAAGCCAACCGGATGGGCGAACGCCGCCTTGGCCAGGTGGTCCGCCACCTTGTTTCCTTCCCTTAGGACATGTACAAATTCCACCCCTTGGAAGTTCTCAATCTCTTGCAGATATCTCCAAACTATATTGCATTCAGTCTCTCCGTCCCTTGCTGTCATGCCTAGCTCGTCAATCAGCTGTTTAGAGTCACATTCCACCACGAGGTTTGGTATGCTCAACTTCTTTGCGACGTAGAGACCGTAGTAAATCCCCCAAGCTTCCGCCTCCATTGTCTGGCACCGGCCAATGTTGGAAGTGGAATCCCGCCACCAATTGCCATGTTCATCCCTGATCAACCTCCGCAGCCTGCCACGCCATTCCCCTTGTGGCTTCCATCCACGTTTAGCTTAAACCAGCCTCTCGCCGGCTTCTGCCATCCCACCTGCGCGGTTGTTGTCGGCGCAAGTCCAGCTCCCGGGTGTAGTCGATTAGCAAAGGAGGCCTTCACCTCCATGTCATACCGGGTTAGCCATCCCAGCTTGCAGTCCAACGCCAGAGACTGGCGTTTAAATACCCCGTCGTTTTTCCACCGCCATATCCACCACAATTGTGCACAGAATTGCTCCGGCCAGTCATCATTGAAACCATAACAGGCTTCTCCCTTAAGGTTTGTTCTCAGCCACTGCTCCCAAGGCATAGCATTAAGGAGGGTCCTTGTGCGTCTGGGCAGAGTAGGTTCCCACACTTCCCTCGCCGCTGGGTATGTCCTGAAGAGATGTGATAAATCTTCCACCTGTCCTGCACAGAGAAAACAAAAAGGGTCAGAGGTTAGCTTTCTTCTAGCTCGTTCAGCATTCGTGAGGATCTCTCCGTGCTGAACTAGCCAAAGAAACATGCAGAGCCTAGCTAGCACACGAAGTCACCAAATCATGCGCCAGTTGCTCTCGCCCAGACTAACATTATCTCCGTAGTATCGTTTATCGGATCGAAGTCCGGTTCCCAAGGTTTCACGATCAGGTAATGGTCCAGGACCATCCATGGGCCCTCGTACATAGCGAATTCAAGATCATCGATGAATCCGAACCTTACCAGATAATAATCGTTGTCCAACGCGATCAAGTCCATGCTGCCTTTCGGTTTCTGCATCACTTTGAGCCGCCGCAGCATGTAAGCGTAGCCAACTCGCCTCCCCATCACCTTGATGATCATAGATTTCCTCCATGGAGCCCGTATCATCTCCACCTCCTGCTTGGTCAGCCTAATTGTTGGGCATAGAGGGTCATCGTTCTCCTCCGCCTCCAAATCGTCGTGCACCTGATCTGGTTCCGAGGGGCTCATCTGCAGTGCTTGTCCGGCCGCGAATCTCCCAGTCACGCTTTCCGCATAGGTCTGCCGTGGTTCTGGTGGTGTTCTGGTGCCCTCAAGCTCCATAGATGGTGCCGATCTCCCCATGCATGGCTCTGTCGGTTGGATCTCCTCGCCACCCTCCAGCAAATCCTCTAGCGGCGTCTCGCGAACCATCTCCACCTCCTGCGTTTGGTATTCACCTGGTGATCGCGCCTGGCTTTCCGCCACCGTTGCCTCTCGTTTGACTTCTTCGTACTCCGTTCAAGCAGATCAAGATCTTCGGTCGAACGCCCAGTCGAGAGCGTTTCCATCATGTCGTACCTTATATAATTGAATAAATGAATATATGTACTAGATATAAAACAAAAATTTATAAATTTAAAACAACACTTCATCTGAAAAAATAATATCATAGACAAAAAAAAATTTGTATTTATGGACATTCTAAAGGCCGATTTTGTGGTCAAGCAGCATGAAGTGACTCTCCCAACTAGGATGTCATGGGTTCGAGCCTCAGTATGGAAGTCCAACGATTCAATAACGTCTCTACTGAGGCTCGAACCCATGACGTGCCAGTTGGGAGAGTCATTTCATGCTGTTTGACCACAAAATTGGCCTTTAGAATGTCTATGAATGCAAAATTTTTTGTCTATAGTTTACGTGTTGATATTATTTTTTCAGATGAAGTGTTGTTTTAAATTTATAAATTTTTGTTTTATATCAAGTACATATATTCATCTATTCAATTACATAACATTGCATACAAAGTGTAAAAGCATTCTTATTGTTACGTCATGTATATATACAAAGTTGTCAAGATGGCGGAGTTGGTCTAAGGCGCCAATTTTAGGTACTGGTTCGAAAGGGCATGGGTTTAAATCCCATTCTTGACAAAAATATGTTTTTGATGAAATTTTCGTATGTTTAAATTATTCAAATTATTTTAGTATACATTTAACTTTTTTATATTAAATTTTATTTAAATTTAAAATTTTTTAAATTTGACGAGCCCCCGCCAAGGCCAGCAGGCCTAATGCGGTGGCGTGCCGTCCTATTTTAGGCCCGTATTTTGAAGGATTTTTAGCCTGCCTCGCCATATGGTGGGTCCTGCCCCGCTGGCCTGTTTCGACAACTAGGGGTAGAAAACAACTCATACAAAAGCAACTAGGGGTAGAAAAGTCATACAAAAGCTTTAAAAACATTTCTTTGTTTATTGGATTTAATGCAATAAGGGTGTGTTTGGAAACCCAAAAAATAATTTCTTTTCGAGTTTCTAATGCTACTGACACTGAACCCGTAACCTCCTATTTAGAAGAGTCATTTCGTGCCACTAGACCACAAAGTCATTGTCTAATAAAAATATTTAAAAATATGTTATTATTATTGATGAGGATTATTCCCCGGACTTCGTGCCTACTACGGTGGTCGGTAAATGACCTATGGGTCGGGCCCGGCCCGGCCCGACCATCACCGACCTAAATGCTTTCTCTTCCCGACCATCTTTGTTTTTCGATCTCGATCGCATGATAGCCCCAGAAAAGGGTTCTCCGATGTGGTTCTTATCTGAGGTTAGACCGGCCTCGATGTCCGACCTTGCGTAGTCAGGAATCTTGGAACACGTGGCCTTAACCCCTTGGATCGCCGCTCTCACCCGTGCATGACCTCTACGGGGCGGGCATGCCGCCGGGCCGGGACCTGTCCCATTCTCTTGGTTATAAATACCTCATTAATTGATGTCAGATGAGATTTTTGGGCTATTTCGACGCTATAGTTATTAGCTCATAGACATCTGACCCACTGTCACGTTGACCAGATTATACTACTTAAACCAACAAGTAGACTAGGTATAGGATCCGACCTGAAACTGTACACTGTAGACAAAACCCCCCTTATTTACTACATCAACTATCATGCATATCATCGCACTATTAATGATTATTTTAAAATACAAAAAAATATTTTTCTATTATTAATTAATATTTAATAAAACTTTAAAATATTCGAAGTAGGAAATTACATTGTTGTGTGCTTTCTTCTCAATTTAAAAATTAAAACTTTTTTTAAAAAAGACAATGTTATTGTGGGTGTTTGGTAAATAGCTAATTGTTATTAGTTGGTTTGATTAGTGAATTTGACTAGTTGATAACATTAGTTGATTGTAGAAAGATGTTTAGTAAATTGGTTGTTAGCTGATAGCTAATTACATGCAAAATAACTTTATCAAAAAGCTGATCGAAAAAACTATTTTGAGCAGCTTTTTGAATTTAGCATTTTGAAGCAATAAGTTGTTACAAAAAATTAATTAATCACACGCTTATATTTAATATTTAACCAAGTCAAACCGCTAATAGTGGTCAAATAACTCAAAATTGACTGATAAGTTAATTATGTTACCAAAAGAGTTAATACCCAATATAGTCCCCGACTATAGTGATTTTACTCAATTTAGTCCTAAATGACTTTTTTGTGTTCAATTTAGTTATCAACTTTGATGGTTTTATACAATTTAATCATTTGTTCAAAATTATGTTAGTTGACTATTAGAAATAGGGTAATAGTGGTAATTTCTCATCCTTCTTCCCATTTGGGATGATTCATTCTTCTTCCTCTTATTAAGATCCACGCAGAAATGTATATTTTCGTACCCAAATCAACTTCAACCCCTTAAGGAAGGAATGTTAGGCAAATATTTATTTTTGCGTGGTTGAAGTTGATTTGGGTACGGAGATTTGCATTTCTGTGTGGATTTTAATAAGGGGAAGAAGAAGGAATCACCCCAAATGGGATGAAGGATGGGAAATTATCATTTGGACCCATATTTCTAACAGTTAACTAACATAATTTTTAATAAATAACTAAATTATGTAAAATAATCAAAATCGAGCACTAATTTAAACACAAAAAAATTATTTAGGACTAAATTAAATAAAATAACCGAGGACTATATTGAGTATTAACTCGTTACCAAAAAGAGTCATTGCCTTCTTTTAAACCTTTAGGGGGTGTTTGGTTGACATGAATTGCAATTCAATGAAATGATAAACTACATTATTTGGTTGGAGGGAATTGCAATTCCATCAATTCATTGAATTGCAATTCATAGGTCCCCCATGAATTGCAATTCAATGAATTCATCCAAAGGGAAAGGGAAAGAAAAGTCATATTTGTCCTTGAATGTTATTATTAATATTATTACACAAAGGGTATTTTAGTCTTTATATCACTTCCCCTATTTTCATTATTCATTCCTACCAAACAATGTAATTGTAATTCCTACTTTATTCCTACCTTATTCTTTTTCCCACCGAATTACAATTCCTTTCCTCCTTAATTCCTTCCTTCCAACCAAACGCCCCGTTAGTAAATACGAAATACATAATTAAAAAAAGGTAGAGAATTAGCAAATAAGCAATCACCTTTTTTTTTTTTTTTTTTTTTGGAAGCCTCGTACTTAATTGTCTCCCTCTTTTTGTTTTATTACACAAAAAAGTGAAGCCTCCGGTGAAGGTAAAAATGCAGACACAGTGTTAATTCAGTAGGCTTGAGATTTCTCATACTCTCGTAGCGGATTCTTTTGTGCTTGAAGGTAATGGAATCATAAACACGAAAGGTCAGAATAGGTTTGCTAGTTACGAGAACTGCGTAAATGAATAGTTGGACTCCAGAGAAGGAAAATTAATGTAGTGTAGTCCGATTTTCTTATTAAAGAGAATCCATATTCAGGAGTCCGTTTTATATTTTTTTTTATTGTTTTTTTTTAAATACATTCGGACCATTGAGGTTCGAATGTATTCATATAATTTATTTTATTTATTTTTTATTTTTTTAATAAATGCGGACGAATGTATTCATTAAATTTGTTTGCCGAAGAAGGTTCATGCTTAGTATGTGTCTATACTTGATATTATAATTTGAATTTAGATGAAAAAAATTGGATAATTAAAAATATAAACAAAGCATTATTTTATTGATGATTCAAAGTAGGACAGTTTGGGGAAGAATGAGTTGTCCTCCGACAATACCTACATCTTCTAATTCGATTTGAACCGAAGTCCATTTCATTTGGATACCTACGTGTGCGGCGCTGGCCTCGTTGATTTGGTTGCCTAGCAGAAATCGGTGGAAGGCAAGTAACTGGACGGGTACACTGAATTCTTTCGTCTACAGGGTAAAAATTACTAGCATAACAGTTCCTGTAATTTTCAACCGAGTAAACATCTGGCACTAATGGGCCGAATCCTTGCCCTCGGTAATTGCATGCTGCAATCACATGTGCACAAGGTAAGCCGTTGACGTTCCACAAGCCGCAGTTACACGTACGTTCCGTTAGATTCACTTGAAAGTGATATTGTTGACTTTGGGAAACGTAACCAGTATTTAGGGCAACACCATAGATTCCGAGGGCGTCATTGCCTGCAGAACCGGTCAGGCTGGAGATATTCCACCACGTGGTAAAAAATAAACGGAACACGAGCAGTCCACAAAATCCTCCCCGCTGTGCAATATGGGGGCAAGGCATCGAGATAGTCATCGTAAGGGGTGAAATTAAACTGCATAGAAAATATAAATTATGAATTGACTAAAATAATATTCCATGTAAAGGTATTCATATTCATAAAATTACTTACTCTATGTTCAGCTACGCGATCTAATTGATCGCGATAGGCTACGACAGTGTGCGTAGGCACTGATAACCAAGAATGCCGACAAACCCACCTACAACAATGTCAAAGTAAATAAATACTACTACTTCAATATTAAAACATTGATGCATCCAATTTAGAGATCGTTACCTGTATGCAATAGGGTAGTCAGCGATTTGGTTGCGCGGCAATACACCTTTCGGCTGAAACATAGGCCGCCTCTCCCATGCCCAAATCTGGACTAGAAGAAGACACCCATACACTGTACGTTTGTCGGCTTCGGAAGCTCTACACAACGCCCTGTAAAGACATCCCAGAACAGCCGAACCCCAAGAATATTCACCACAAATATACAGATTACTAACGTACGGGAGCAAGTACAATTTATATTTCCCTTTGGTTGCGTCGGGAAATAAAAAACCGTTTAATAAATAATATATAAAACGTCGGGCTGCCAACAACACTTGTTCATCTGTGCTGTCCGCATGAAGAGCCTGAACGTCCGGGACAGCTGTCCTGTGAATCATGGTGGTTGACAGGAACCTATCGACAGGCACAAATCCCAACAGCTGATGGCACATTAACTTTACTTCTTCCGGAGTGCCAATTGTATCCTCACCCGTCACCAAAAGTCCGTCGACCTTAAGGCCGAATAACACTTCAACATCTTGAAGTGTTATTCCAACCTCACCGAAGGGCATGTGGAAAGCGTGGACCTCCGGCCTCCATCGCTCTAAAAGGGCAGTAATAAGCCCATGATCCAACTGAATTTTGGGCAACTGAGAAACACCATACAAACCAGCGACTCGCAGCCACGCTTTGACTCTATCATCATTCACGGCTGCACACCTAGTCAATGTATCGTATTTAACAGCTTTAAGTTGAAAGTCATACGTTGGATTCGTCCAAATTGCTCTACTACGGTGACGGGTTTGAAATGGTAACGAACCCTCTTGTAGTGGCCCGGGATGCACTCGGTCATTTGCCATACCTGTATCAAAACAATTCATAATACTTACAAATTAAAAACATTATAACAACTTCGAACAACAAGTTACGCAATTAACAACACGGCAGTACATAAATAAAAAATTTCAAGTACATAAATAAAATATGTACGAGGCATAATAAAAAATATGTAAACTGCATTATGAATTTTTTAACGCCAAAACTCGGACCATTTTGGTCCGAATTTCACAAAAGAATTTTTATAAATCGGACCAAAATGCTCCGAATTACATATTTTTTTTAAAATTGTAAAACTCGAACCCTTACATATAATTTCATAGTTGTGTCTGTTTAAAGAGTTCATTTTACAGTAGCTATATACAACATTTTTTGTGTGTTAAATAAATGTTATAAACACTACATATATCAAAGTCCGAATTTATTTTCCTAAACTTCATTTTACCACTAAAACAAGAAATAATATGCTAGAATGCGATATAATCTACAACAAAACAACATAACGAAATAATAAATTACGCAGAGTATAAAATATGAACTGACTAAAATAATATTCTCAATATAAATTTGTTTTTTTTTTTACCTAAAATATAAATTTTATTTTTTTACATACGCAGTGTAAAACAACTCAAACTATACGCAGTGTAATCAAATATATAGTGTAAAACAACTCAAAATATATGTAACTTCTCTAACTATTTTTTTTTTTTTTTTAAGCAAAAACTCGGACCATTTTGGTCCGAATTTCACACAATTATTTTGTATAAATCGGACCAAAATGCTCCGTATTACAAATTAAGTGAATGACACAAATTTTTTAGCACACTCAGTTCTCTCTTTTCGTTTTTTTTTTAACAACAACAAAATATATACACCTCTTTTAAAAAAAATAACGACCAAAAATATATGTCAACAGTAGTTATATAATTAATAAATGTACTTTGAAAAAAAATAAAATTTTAAAGATGAGGATAGCCTTATATTTGTCTCCTGCTAATTTGCTATACTTGTACAGTTTACATTCACAACAAAGTGCGCCCATTTGTTCTCTCTTTCTGTTCATCATTTTACAGTAGCTATATACAATTTTTTTTTGTTAAATAAATGTTATACACACTACAAACATCAAAGTCCGAATTTATTTTCCTAAACTTCATTTAACCACTAAAACAATAAATAATATGCTACAATGCGATATAATATACAATAAAACAACATAACAAAATAATAAATTACGCGGTGTATAAAATATGAACGGACTAAACTAATATTCTTCAATATAATTTTTTTTTTACCTCAAATATAAATAATTTTTTAACCACTAAAACAAGAAATAAAATGCTACAATGTGATATAATATACAATAAAACAACATAACGAAATAATAATTGTAGTAACTGAAATATAATTTTTTTTTAACCTCAAAGATGCAGAAGTGTAGAGAAGATGCAGTGTTGATCCAAACTTATTCTTCAATGGAAGAAGTGGCTTGGGAAGAAGCTTTGAAGTGGCGTCCGAAAATTTGAAGAGAGAACAAAACAAATCTGCCTTAAATTGTAAAGTGTATGTGAAGAGGAAGGGAAATGATATTTATTGGGGTGAATTGTGAGTGGAGTCCGAAATGAGTACCTTGAGAACAGAAATTGCATGGGAATCTTGCTGACAAATTGGACTGTTCAGCACATTGGGGAGACAAATTGCTTGGGAAGAGAAATTGGAGTGTTTAAGCATGCAAATTGATTCTCACACCTCAGAATCGGACAAAATTTGAATGCTGAGACCAGCTCTCACCCATCAAATCTCGCCTAAATATCTGAAAATCGGACTACAAACTTTCGACTTACTAGTGATTTGCGTATCCACATCCAATCTTCTGCACTGCCGGCAAAACGACCCAAGGTAATGCTACTTACGCGGCTGAGCCGCCGTAAAATTGGCATCTGCCCACCGGCACTACTCAAAAATCTTAAACACCTCCACGGAAACGCCGGCGGCTTTCCGCCTGTAGACCAATCTTTTGAGGTTCTGCTAAAGAAATGCTCCACTGCACAGCATATTCATCAAGCCCACTGCTATATGCTCGTCCGAGCTCTGGATCACGATAACATCCTTCTGAATCGATTCGTCGCCACTCTCTCCGCGCTTGGGTTCTCCGACTATGTGTATTTCTCAGTCTTCTTCGCTCCCAACCCGGACATGTACCTATACAACACCGCCATTGACGTTCTCGCTCGCCAGCCGCGTTTGTCTGAACAGGCCATTAGCCTCTATAAAAGGGCTCGAGTCATTGGTTTGAAGCACGATACTTACTCTATTCCGTTTGTGTTGAATGCCGTTATCGGTGATTGTGGATTGATATTCACCGGCCGGCAGATTCACTGCGAGGGTGTTAGGACAGGATTGAACAATGACGTCCACGTGGCGGTGTCGCTCGTCCGTATGTACTCTGCTTGCGGGCTTGTTTCCGATGCACGAAAGGTGTTTGATGAAATGCTGCATAGGGATGTGGCGCTGTGGAATGCCATAATAGCTGGCTACGCCAAGGCTGGTGATATGGGTAGTGCAGTTGACTTGTTCGAGCGTATGCCCAGGAGAAATGTTGTTTCTTGGACTACTATCATAGCTGGTTATGCTCAGGGAAATCTGTCTCATGATGCTATTGCTGTTTTTCGGAGAATGATGGCTGATTCAAGTGGAGTCAAGCCTGATGAGGTAGCCATGTTGGCTGCACTTTCGGCTTGTTCAAATTTGGGTGACCTTGAGTTGGGTGAGTGGATCCACACTTATGTTGAGAAACATCAATTGCAGAGAACTATAAGTCTTAACAATGCACTAATTGATATGTATGCTAAATCAGGGAGCATACAGAAGGCTATGCAACTTTTCGAGAGTATGACAAACAAAAATGTGGTAACTTGGTCAACGTTGATCTCTGGCTTGGCTACTAATGGCCTTGGAAGAGAAGCTCTTGACATGTTTTCTCGTATGGAAGGGGCTGGAATTAAGCCTAATGATGTGACTTTAATAGCTGTACTCTCTGCCTGCAGCCATGCGGGTTTTGTTGAGTTGGGTCGCTGGTATTTCTATACAATGGAAGAAAGGTATGGGATTAGACCCAACATTAAACACTATGGCTGCATAATTGATCTTTTAGGGCGTTCTGGTCGCCTTCAAGAGGCTGAAGACCTAAGTAAAAGAATGCCATTCGAAGCAAATGCAGCTATATGGGGATCACTGCTTGCTGCATCTAGGAACCAAGCCAATGTTGGACTTGGGGAGCGAGCTCTTCAGCACCTACTCAAAGTGGAACCTCATAATAGTGGCAATTATTCACTTCTGTCTAGCATATATGCTTCTCTTGGTAGGTGGGATGAAGCTAGGGCATCAAGGATAGTCATGCGGGATATTGGTGTTAGAAAGAAGCCAGGTCATAGCTCTATTGAGGTGGAAAACAGAGCTTATGACTTCAATTCAGAGGATAGGTCGCACCCTCAGCTTGAGGGGATATACAGAACTCTGCTGCAGTTAAATGAACACTTGAAGATGTCAAGGCACACCGTTTGGGATTATGACCATCTGCTTGATTCTGTTTCTGTGTAACATGATATCCTCCTCCTATGAAACTGGAGACAAATCATTGCAAACCCCAGCAGAATGGGCTTCAACCTTTTTTGAGAAGAAAAAGCAAAGAGATAATCCATCAAATTAAGGTACAAGCTAATGCATTGATATCTAAAGATGTAGCTAGGTGTTTTTGTACATGGTATGCAACTAAATATCACTGCATATGGTAGTGAACAGAATGTCTCAAATCTCTTTAATATGGATTACTATATGAAAAATATGTGCTTTTCACTTATGTCACCTTCCTAATCTTCTGCCTTAAGCAATGTTGTTTACTTGTTTCATGTTTGTTAATAATGTTTTTTTAACTGAGACAGGATTTTATTAGAGCATTTGGTGAACTGGTTGATTGATTGCACATGGTTCCACCTATTTCTGGTGAGCAATATCTAGATGTAGCACTTTTAATGCTGGAAATAATTTTTTATGCACTTCATGTATAGTGTTCTACATAAATATGCTGTGAATGATGGTTCATTAGTTATCTTCCTTTTACATTGTACAAGAGTTTCCTATACATGGTTTCTATTTCTATTGTACATTGTACACAAGAGTTGCCAGTATTGGAAGTAAAAACTCATTTATCTCCAAAATTTACAGATTCATAAATACCTCAAGGATACTCTTACTTTCCGGGCCAAGGACAGCTATACAGATTCTCTTGAACATAAAAGAGAGTTCAACATTGCTTCAGTGACATCAGTTGGCCTGCTATACAAAATTGGAGAACTTCTGACTTCTATAAACAAGACGCGAAATGCTCCCTGCCTGAATTCTTGATATTGAGCCATTTTCATGTCTTTGAAGAATTCTCATTCATTTGAATAGGAAAGGCTCTTGTCCGTACTGACATCATAATCTAGGTCTTGCATGGCATTCAAATGCAGACTTCTTTCATTCACAATAGTGTATTTCCTAGTATTCTTTAATGCAACAACTTTGATAGTAGGTACTTGTAGAGGTGCAAAGCCAAACCCATCACCAGGTGCTAACTGTGTTATCAACTGGTCAGACTAAAGTGTCAAAGCTTGGAAGAAGTCATGCCCAAGGCCTAAACTTTGGAATCCCAGTAGTACAAGAACACTTACAAGTAAAACTTGGATATTCTGTTTCAATGTGGTGCATAATCCTGTGGAATATGCAGTAAAAGCAAAATTATATCCAGAGAGAAGACATAAATAGGACACAGAAGATAAAAGTGGTTTACCTGCATATTTTCTGTTTTTTGGTAATACAGAACCAAGCATATCCTTTTGATTAGCATCATTACTTTGGAAATCACATAGAGAATGAGCAGGGGCATTTGCATTTTCCTTGTCATTATGTTCTACAGCTTCAGTCGGCACAGCTTGGCATTGATGTTTTTCTTCTGATGAAGTTAATATATATGGATTTTCAGTGAGAATCTTGCATGTTGGGAAGTTGCTTTTCCCACTTTTCAATGTGAATGACTCTGAATGTCTTTCTTTACATACAATTTCTTCTGCAGTCATTTTAGAACCCTCCAAATCAGCGGATGCAGTAGAGTTGCTGTATGTACACTGATCTGTTAAGAAAGCATACACCTTGGCTTGTTCTTTAGTTGGTTTCTCATTTGTATTGCTAGATGTGGTATCAGCAATGTTATCTGAGAAGTCCATCAACACCACTGAAGTTACAGTACCCTCTGCTTCTGAGACAGTTTCCACAACCAACTTTGCATCAGAGGTAGTTTCCATTTCCACCTTTGCATCAACCACTACTTCTACTTCAAGGTGCTTGATATTTCGCCTTCTGAACTTTTGACCTTGAACTTCTTCGTTACATGGTTCCTTTGGAATTCTGCATCTACCCTTGCTTTTCTTCTCTGGAATGGGTATCGCAAGAACTTTTTTGTTCCGATGAGTGGAACTTGTATTGTTTGGTGTATATTTATGTAGCTGAAGCCAATTATCAACCTTTGAGTGGTTCCATGTATGTAAGTTATTTATTCTTCTATTCACCTGATCTTCAACCCTATGGCTGTTTTTGAACTTGTGATTTTTAGAGTCTCTTTCTGGTTCTTCTCGTTCTGCAAGAACAACCGTTTTGTTATCTGAATCAGATGCATCTTTGCTGTATTCTGGTTCACTCTCTGCACTGAACTTCATGTTCAAATCAAGAAAGCGGCTAGTTCTTGAAATACTGCTCTCTGAAGTGTATACTGATCCACCTTGTATTGGAAATGCTACAGACTCAGCACGATGAGATGATGTTTTTCTACTTCTTGGAGGAATTGAGGCCTTAACTCTTGGAGCTTGATATTCTACAGCATTTTTGCCCGATTTTTTTCTACTGCAAACGGTAGGTCTCATGAATCTTGGTAAGTTTGATAATGGCACTGTTGTCTTTACATTTTCTGTGGCAGATTGTGGCCCATCATTGAGTGTGTCTGAGGCATTAAGTTGTTCACTTGAAGAGGGTGATATCCCTGAAAGGTTTCCTAGTTTTTCATTTAGATTTTTTATTTTTCCTCCAATGTCATTGCGTGTATCTTCAATTTGCATCATCTTCTGCTGCAAACTATGTATTGCAATTTCTTTTACACCTCGTGCTTCCTGCAGTTTGACACACCATACCATTGCTGTAAGAACCGGGGAAACTTTCTTGCTACAAAAAGCAGTTCTTTGCATATGGGCAAAATGAGATGGAGTTAGAATCTAGATCCTGCACATGTTGGACACCAAAATCTGTTCACAAGACTTTTTATGCATCAATCATTGATATTCTGCTTCAAACTATGTGTGTGTAAGATCAATGCCCAACTGAAGTAATGAAACTATACAAACATCTAGGATAACTTCTGTTTGCAAGTAAGTGGATGATCCCATGTAACTCTGCTTAAAATGCTGTTTTCTTATTAAGTATGATTTGTTTCCAGCTAGTCTTTTATTTGATTTCTTGTTCTATTTTGAGATCAAATGAGTAAATGTTCTATAGACCTTGTATAGTATGAATTTCCAACAAAGTGTTTTGCAAGCTGCCAACTATCAAACACGATCCTATTCCATTTCACAGGCCAGTGAAATTAAAATGCTAAGAGATATGCATTGAAGTTAAAAAGAATTAAAATAATTTAGCAATTGGTTAAACAACATTTGTATTTTGAAGAAAAATGAGGAGGAGATGGATTGAAATGTCTGGATATGTTATAGAAGATTACTGACACTTGCATTGAAAAAGAAAAACCCTTTACTTTCAATGGGGGAGAGTAAAGGAGAAAATAAAAAACAAGGTAAAGATATGTTAACTTCATAACTTGTGGCTTAACCTTGAGTATGACATTAGATACAACTGACTGGAGAAAGAGTGAAAATACTTTTAGTTGAGCTGAGAATAAAATAGTCTTTGTTGTTCATACACTGGCTTTTTAACAGTGAGAGGAACTATTTGAAGTAAGCAAGATAAATTTCAATTGAGGAGACTTATTGCCATTCATAAAGCAGTGAATCAATAATGTTATGCATAAGTACTAATGACCCTCTTGCCCTGGAACAATGCTACATAGACTTAGTGATTTCCCTACCCTTTTGTGCAGTCAAATGTGTTTTGAATTGGTGATGTCATATAATGGGATTTAAGTATGACCATGTATCAGTTCATTCAGTTGTTTTGAGAACCAGAACATGTATAGTTATTTTAAAAACTGAGCATTTTGTATTTACTTACAGTTGATTCCTCATTTCCTAGGTGAATGCTCTTCACTCGTGTTGCAAAACTTAAAGAGCATATTGTCTCACACAAATCTTCTTCTCTTGGACTGACATGGACAAGCATTAGTGTTTTTGAATCTTCACCTGGGTATGAAGGAAAAGAACAACCTTGTTAGTTGTTAGCATGAAGTGTGAAATAATGAGAATATGAATTTTGAATATGTGCTAGCTGTATTGCTAATTCCTATTTCTAATAAACTATTCCCTAGATGTCGGTTGGTACTAAAGTATTTCAGTTAGCAAAGAGCATATTATATTGGTTTTCTTCAAAGAAGATTAGAAGCTAAAAACAATGAGAAGAGTTAGACCATAGACATGAAGAGAATTATTCACCTAAAATAGATCCAGGAGGATTATAGGCGCTATTTGGATGCTGAATATTATGCTATCAGAAAACGTTAATGCAGAAGTGAACCGATCTTTCTGTTCACTCTTGTAACTGAATCTGTATGTAGTAGTTAAGCAGTATTTACTGTTTAGTATCTTTCAAGTAGATGGTTACTGGAATGTATTTCATATTCTTAGGATATGTATAATCCCTAGAGTAAGCTAGGGGCTTATATATGCCGTTTAGGGTTTTGGACCTTTGGTAATGTAAGGGTTCTATATTTATATTGCTTCTATGTCTATTTTACAAGGTTGTGATATATATTTGGACATTATTGTGTGATTCATCAATCTATTTCTATGTCTGATAATCAATTTCAATCAATTTGTTCCCTTTTCTGAGTCTGACAGATGATCAATTGTTTGTTTCTCTGTTATTTTACTATGTTCTCTTCCAGATATTCCGTGAGAGTTTTCAAAGAATGTTCATGTTGACATGAGGTTATTAGCTTCTAACAACATAGATACTGCCTCTTCTTTTCCTCTTTTCTATAGCCTAACAGTTTTGTGTATGGTTTTATCATAAGGTTTTGGATGCAGTCCAAAATGTATTGAAAACCTGAAACAGAAAAACACATTTTGGTTCCTTTTTCTTGTTCTGTAGTGAACAACTTGTACATTACAATGAAGATGCATCTGCATATTACCTAGGGAATCTTTAAGAACTTGTGTCAACTTGCTATTCCTGTCAAGAATAAAAGCTTTGATTAGGAGTCATTAGATTTTATAGTAAAGTCGTGATCATTATTTCTTCTTAACCAATACATGCAAGCATATCATTTATCCTCTATGAATGTCTTCTCGACTTTTCTTTGTTACATTATGAAGATTTTAGATTACTAATTACAATATTATATATCTAACAAGTATTTCCTTTATTTACCTGTAAGGAATGTGACGCTGACGTGTCTGGAGGGCATGGATGACATCTCCTAGGGCAGAAAGAGAGAGGTTAATTGCCTTTCCTTCTTCGAATCTTCTTCCCCATGCCTTTGTTTTTAGCACTCGTTCACTTCCCCCAAGATCAATCATCCACAGTTTGTTTGTCTCCCTTCTGCGCTCAGTGGCAGTGGCACCAGAGCAAGATATGGATATGCGTATCAAGCTGTATTGAGCAGATTATGGATATGGTAAGTGATAAATTTAGTAGAATTTATCTAATCTCAATAATCTTGGTATGCCTATCAAATTAAGTACCAGTGTGATCTGCTTGAAGTTCGATTTGAATTTGTGGAAGCAGTGGATCTTAAACAGCAGCCTATTGAATACAATCTCATTGCTTGGTTAAGGTCGTTTACTTGGATGCTCACCAGGTTTTCAATTTCAATGTCTCCACTTGAATGTGTTTGAATTGAAAGGCTGCACAGACAATATTTTGTACAGTTATCAACCCAGGTCACAGATTCATTCTCAAATAAATGGAGGGTGGAAACTGCACGGTATGTTTGTTGAGAAATTCCTATTTAGACTTGTTCTACCCAATTTGCACACACTAATGGATTGAAATCTTGTGTTTTGTTCTTTGGAATCCCAAATTGCCAGAGTTCAATATACAAGTGTATCTAGGA